ATTTTTGTAGCCCTCTTCTGGACCCGCTCCAACAGGTCCATGTCCTTCTTGTGCTGAGGGCTAGTAGCAGCTTTGTTGAAAACATGAAATTCCTTCTAGCTGGGCGGCTCTATAGGTCCCATAGCAAGAAAGTGCCTGTTCCCTTTGTATGATTTGATTTGATTTGTCTTGAGCAAGGAAAAACTTGGCAATATTGCCCTACTTGCTCTGCACTGCCTGGCTGTGTGTCGAGCGATATGAGAAACGCAGTGTGGGGAGAATAAACTCACACAGCCCAAATCTAACTGAGTCGTGTCCCTGCAAAAGGTAAAGCAAGCCAGCATGATGACAGAGAGCTGCAGGGTAAAGCGGTGTGCTCTGTACCATTCCCACCACTAGATGTCTTGGGACCAGCACTGCAACCACACAAGATGCACATCCTGCTGAGCAGCACCCGGATCTGGAAGATGATCTGTGCGAATGTCTGCAGGTTTAATAACCCTGCCTTAGTTAAGGGTCCCTGTAGCACAACACGATTACGAGGCAGAGGTATGTGATAGCTGCTCTCCTGTTGGGTTCACACAGGAAACTCTGGTGTTTAAATGAAACGATCCCTGCAGAAAAAAAAAAAAAAATGTGGTTGAGTGTTGCGCTGGACTGATGCTGCACCTGCAGCGCTTTGCAGCACTGATATGTGCCCTGCAATCCACAGGAGGTTATGTGCAAGCTAGGAGAGCCCAAGGCCAACAAAATCTCAAGCCTTGGGAGGTAAAATGACCTTTTCTGACATTTAGAAGAGAACAAGATGCAGTAATAGGAAAGAACAGGGTCTGGAACAAGAAGGAAAGAGCCTATCCAAAAGTATCACGCAATCATATGCAAAGTATCAGTAGCCGCAATCTGCAGCTCTGCAGCAAAACCACAGGCATGTTATTGCAATAGCACCAGCCCCCACAAAGGGTTTCGTAGGAGCCTCTATGGTTTGAAGCTTTGTTCAGAGGATTTTCCTTTTTCCGCAGGCATTCTCAGTCTCTGCCATGTCTGGACACGGATCATCTATTCACCCTGCGATTTCAGCTCTGAAGCATTCCCCGCAGGCTTACCAGTCAGCTATCAGCCAGTCTCCACAAACCAGCTCCAAACAGGACTCCTGGAACAGCCTGGTGTTAGCTGAAAACCATGGGGACATCATAACAGCATAACCTGGTCTTCCACCCATGGACTTCAGGCTGATCCGCTTGAGAGGTGAAGAAGATGCCACGTAATCATCAAGTCAATGTTGTTTCCCGCCTCCCCTGCTCTCCTGCCTTCTCTCCTCTTGTGAGATGTCCCAGCAAAGAGGTAAAGAGGACTTTTCTGAGGTGCAGGAGAGCTCTTACACAACGAACATAGAAGACTCACATCTCAGAGTAACTAATGGATTTGAAGCCTTTTTTTTCCCACTTTAAATGAGCCTCTCTATTTGATTGTCACCACCTTCTGTGAAACAGCCAAAACCACAAAGATGGACACAGTTCTTGACTTTTGATTATTTAAAAACATCTGGCATTTAAGACTCAGACAATGGTGGAGCAGAGACACTTTTTTTCTTCTGAAACCATCCATTCTTTTCCTGACCAGAAGAAAATGCCACCATCTTCTCATTACCCAAATTCAGTGATCTTCCACCAAATGGAGCCAGTTCCAGAACAGTTTGTTGAACAGACTTCACTAGACATGCTGTGGTGGCTTCAGTGCATTTGATATGATCTAGGGCAGAGAAAAAAAAGAGATTCTCCCCCACACCCCCCCTCAGCTCACACATCCAGAGCATTGTCTTCATTTTCCTAGATGGTCAAAAAACTAATGCAAGTCCGTACTTAATAGTAACTCCTTTCCTATTTATCTTTACAAAACCATGGGACTGTGTTTCCAAAAGGTTGTTGGCTGAGCCTGGAGAAGGTCTGTCCAAAGTCAAAGGGGGATTTCGGAAGGAGGAACCTTGGAAGCAGGTAGAGGAGACCCATACTGGTCATCAAATCCTGGGCTCTTCCCTTACGGATAGCTACAAGCCAGGCTTAGAGATTATTCAAGAGCACAGCAAGTGAAAGATGCTCTTCTAACGCTGCTGTGCCATTGCTTTTGAGACAGTTAATTTAATTATTTTGCATACTCTTATGTTGGTTTTGATGTCATTGATGAAATCTGATTGTCATTTATTTCCGGCTGTACTGTGAGTGCCCACTTTCCCCCCAACAGCTGGCTCATGACCGTTTCACACATCTAACCCTTTAGGATTTCACCTTTTGCAACAAGGGAAGGCTTCAGCCTCTGATGGAGGTAGGCAGGGGCCATTTTCTTTACCAAGCATGTGCATAGACTTGCTTGCTTGCAAGAGAAGCATAACTCCATTCATGCATGAGTACTAAACAAGACTCGTGGTTTTTTTCTTGCCCGTAAGACTCTCAGCAACGGGGGAATCCTAGCAAATGGAGTTGGAAGAGATGCTGAGAGCTCACTGACTCATTCCCTTTTCCCAAAGGGATCGGTTCTGCCTAACCTAGCCCTGACTGCTCTTTCTCAAGCATGTGCTTAACAAACTCCAGCATCGCAGATGCCACAGCTCCCCTGTGCAGTCTAAAAGTGCTTCACCAGATGCTTACCATGATGTTTTCATCAACATTTCTGAGGAGGGACAGCTTTGCCTGTCCAGGCAGGGAATTTCTGCAAGACCTCATCCTACAAGATTCTCCATTCTTGTTTCTGTCTGCTTCCAAACTCCGTTACTCTTCTTGCCTTCCCAGCTCCTCTCTTTCCTCCCTGCATCCAGAACTCGAGTACGGAACTATCAAGTGAAAATCTAGAAGAGGGATTGTGCATCCCTCCCAAATGTGCCATCCTCTGTCTCCCACTGTTTAACATTCCCACAAAGAGTGTTTCCACCCAAATGCCAAGATACATGGCTTGGTGAAGAGGAAAGCCACATGCATGTTTGAAGCAAAAGAATGGCATTGTATTGTCTTAGTCTGAACTCACCGTTTTCCTCCTGATGGTAGAAAAGCTCCTTTAAGGAGAAGGATTCAACCGGACTGGTCGTGATAAAGACTGGGACTGGAGTCACTGTAGAGACCTGGACCCTTCCACATGCCCTGTGCTCTGTGTAACTCAGATGTGCAGGCTTTTGGAGGGGTGACAGAGTCTCTGCACCCCCCCAGAGAAAAACACCATGGCACTGATACCATGGGAATGGCCAGACGGTGTTGGCACCAGAGTTTCCACTCTGTCTTGCTGAGCTAATGCAGTGCCTAGCCTCGTTAGTGTTAATTACAGACAAGGAAAAGACATTCATGAATCACGAATAAAAATAAATGAAATTCTGTGGTTCTGCTCAGGCCTGGTAGGCTGCAGAGAAGAGGCCAGAAAGAGCACCTAAAAATATGAATTTGGGGTGAAAACATAAAGGTGTTTCTCCCCAGGCATGCAGATGTTTAGCCAGCCTCCTCCTTGAACTATATTCCTTTGTAAATGTCAATGGAGCTCTCTTGGGATCTGGCCATGAATTCCTGTCCGTAACAGAGAAGCATGCACCACAAAGATGCCACTTGGCTAATGCACACATTTGAGATATCCAGAACTACCCTGGACAACCTGAAAGGGAGGGGAGCGGGTGGCCTCCTAGAGAGGAGCTAAAGGCCAGACCAACCACACACCCCGTTTCTCTTTCCATTCGGATGCTCCCAGAGGCTCTGTCCACCTTGCCTTATTCCTGCGCTCCTCCTGCTGCCCTCAAAGTTAAACACCCTGGCTGCCATGGCACTTTGGGACATGGTTTAGTAGGCATGGTGGTGGTGGGTTGACGGTTGGACTTGATGATCTTGGAGGTCTTTTCCAATCTTAATGATTCTATGAATTTTTCTCCTGCCCTTAAAACACTCTCTGGGATGCCATAAAGGAGTCTGCTTGCAATGCAAGAGGGTAAAATCCCTGCAGGACATATCCTCCTGCCTTATCCTCCTCCCTCAGGTTATCTAAATGGCCTTGCTAGAGATTTGTTAACTGGTTCTCAGCCTTCCCCAAAGCCTTAAACATAATTCTTGAAACACAGTAAGGAGCATTTACAAGGACCCTGATAACAGAATGAGGTGTCTGCTTTCAAAAGGTGAGGCTCTGGGGGCTGTGAGGACAACTTGGCTCTCTTCAGCAGTAGAAATGGGCTATTTTGTCCCCCCTTTTGCACCACAAGCAGTAGAAGTCCAGGTATGCCTGGTTCTGCTGTTCTTTTCAATCACCTAAAACTGTTGTAGAGCTGTTGTTGGTCCAGGAGCCATATTCCGGCCAACACTGATACCAAGATGGTGAGAAGCTGACCTCAGATGGAGCACCGTCATGCTAAGGTGCTGTAAAAACACACCATAAGAGATGGGCCCTGTCCTAGAGAGCTCGTAATGACAGAATTACAGAGTAATTGAAATCAGAAGGGACCAGATAAGGTTTCTCAGGGCCCTGTTCAGTCAAGTGTTGAATATCCCCAAGGGTGGAAATCCTACAACCTCTCTGGGCTCCTGTTCCAGTGTTTGACCACCCTCCTGGTAGAAATGTTTTTCCAAATAAATGTTAGATTCTAACGAGAGACAAAATAATTGGTAAATTAATTGCTCAGACTTGGGGACTCCCAAGCAATGAGTCATTGCAGGAGACTGGATGTTGTCTCCAAGCCGAGGAGTGACACCAACCCCCTTCTTGTAGGTAGGAGCTGGGATGGCCAATGCAGGGCGACAAACACCAGAAGTGACAGACGAAGGGATGAGAGCGTAAAAATGCTACCAATTTCAGGAGACTCAGCTCATTCTAGCAAGAAGGGCAACTTACAAAATTCTGGGTTCCATCTGAGCTCTGCTTTCCTAACCATGATGGCATTTAGAGCCTGTTTGCTAATTAGACACAGTTATTAGAGAGTCGTTAAGGCAAGATAATTACTGCTATGATTGCAATGATTTCTTTCATTGCAGCATGGCTGGAGAACCTAGTGAGGACCATACCAGGCCAGGTCCTACACAAATGCAGGACTGAGAACTATCCCTGCCCAGAGGGGTAAGAAGGAAGGGCCCAGTCCTGCAAAACACTTAAGCATGTATATAAATCTGTTTGCGAGACTTGTTCCCACAGAGATCATCATTAATCACACATGCAAATTTTTGTGTTGAAGGGTTTCCAGCACAAGGTTTGGTTGTGCCAAACCAGACCTTCGCAATGGCTCAGTGGTCACCAGAGTGAGATGGGCAGATGAGAACCAGGATGGGGAGCCAGAGGGGTAGAAAGGTCACTTAACCATTTCCAAATGTCTTTCCTCTCTGTGGGAGTGCAATATCTTGAATCACTTCAGTTACGCTTTTGTAAATTGATCAGAAGACATCCGTATTTCACTTGCAGTCTTGCAGGCTGTCTGGAGAGGGTGCAATCAGGAGGAGCTCAGGAATATTGCAAGGGAGCTTTAAAACCGACCAACAACTCTTACTATGACATTGAAGCTGTGACAATGTCAGGGGTGGTGCTTTGTTTTGCTTTTTTTCTCCCCGTGTGTAAAGACTGAAGCTTCCCAGGTCACCTGGGAAGGTCCCATGGAAACAGACACTCGTACAGGGGAGAGGGAAACCAACCAACTGAACAAGCTGTAATTATTTAAAGATGTAAAAAAATATATATTATGAAGTAGTATGGCTACCAATTCACTTAACTTCTACACCTTTAGAACTAATGGAAATAAAACAATGATAATAAAACCAGAAGGCTGCTGCTTGACTCTGACTACCCTCATGGGTTTCTTGGACAGGGCTGGGGGTAAATGATCACATATGAAGCACACCTGGAGAAGCAATGGTGCAATGGACCCTGACCTAGGGAGCTCATAATGACAGAATTACAGAGTAATTGAAATCAGAAGGGACCAGGTAAGGTTTCTCAGGGCCCTGTTCAGTCAAGCGTTGAATATCCCCAAGGGTGGAAATCCTACAACCTCTCTGGGCTCCTGTGCCAGTGTTTGACCACCCTCCTGGTGGAAACGTTTTTCCAAATAAATGTCAGATTCTAATGAGAAACAAAATCATTGGTAAATTAATTGCTCAGACTTGGGGACTCCCAGGCAATGAGTCATTACAGAAGACTGGACGTTGTCTCCAAGCCCAGGAGTGACGCCGAGTCCCTTCTTGTAGGTAGGAGCTGGGAT